GTCTACATTACTAAAGGCAGGACAGAAAAATGTGGGATAACTCCTAAACAACCAGTTTGGGTGAAACCAAGAGGTTTTTTGAATCTAATCAGACTTTATTTTGCAGCTGCACTGTAACCTGGTGCAATAACGTATACTGTTTATCTATTTGACAAACCAGAAACCAAACTTTACCTGCCACCACTTTACTGTACATAGGATATGTATATATAAGCCACCTTAAATCTCTCCTTTATGCACTGTACTTCATCCACATTTTCCTCCTTTGTGCACCTCCTGTTTGGTTATAAGAGCTGATGTCACAAGTTAATTTCTTCATTTTGAGATCAATAAAGTTATATCCTATTCCATTCTATTCTCTTCTCTTCTCTTCTATTAAACTACATGCTGCAGCTCCAACAAATCTGACAAACCAATAATAAGAACCGGTTCATGAATAAAAGTGTGTGCTCCTTTCATATGAAAAGTCAGCAGTAGGGAGAAGCCTCCAAACTTGTGGCAGTATTAAAACAGTCTGATGTATAAAATGGAGAGTAGACTTTCCTTTATCCATCCCAATCTGCTGGAAAGAGACGCAGCTGGATGAACTGCTTCAATATGTAGAGTAGTATAAATAGACAGGAGGCTCCCATCGGCGTCCCAGTAACCATGACGATGATGCTGCTAGGTTGTCAGGGAGACTTTGTCGACACATCTACAGGGGAACCCATTACAGCCAAACAGAAAGATATTAAATTACATCAATGACTCACTTAAGAAACCTGCTAGAAATAAAGTATTTCGATCAGTTTGGTTTATAAAAAAATTTAGAATACTTAAATCAATTAATTCTTATCAGTGTAATGTTTAACTAGTTATTAAGATTTAAATAGGACTCCCATGTTTCTATTAGGAATACTGTCACCACATTAACAAGAGAATGAGGCTACACAAAATGTTTAAAACAATTCAGGACGATAGGATGAATATAAACAAATGTATTAACCGATAGAAATATCATCCTAGGTGAATGGACCCTGTATGCAGTCTGTTCGTGAGTGTTATTGAGTATTGTAATTATGGTTTCTGTCAAGGGAACCTGAGTCGAGCCGGACAGTTTCTATTATAAAAGTACTTGTCATTGATAAAATAACTTTTTCAGATTGTGGCTTTTTATATAATTGCAACATTAAAATGAGTTCCTTCAAAAACTGTAATTGGATGTAAGGCTCAAACAATCTGATCAATCAAGATTAATTGATAAAATGATAGAATAAATGGTATAGAGACTCTAAAACCTACCTTTAGCTGACAGTGACCCACACAGAGCAGCAATTATAACATAGAAAAGGAAAATCTGAGATGAGAAAAACTTTTTCGCCCACCAATATGCACTGTCCAAAACTCCTTTCTTTTCTAAAAAAAAAAACAAAACAAAAAAACTTTTTCTATCCGATTATTAATAAATAAAAATAATCAGCAGATTAATCACATTTGACTTGTTTGGAATTAAAATAAAGGCATCCTGACCTAATGCGAGTAATGTTGGATGTACTCTAACAAGAGTTGAGGTTTATTTTTCTTCTCTTTCTTAAAAGAACAATCTGAACTTGAATCTTATGTATGCTGCAGGAGATGAAATCTGGACCTAACGGTCTGCTGAGCCAAATCAGTGTCAGCGAACGGAGCAAAGCCGCATATGAAGTCTGACTGGATCACCATTAGCTAGTAATGGCAATCTTGTTGAATGCTGATGAAGACTGAAAGTGTGTGTGTGTGTGGGGGGGACGATGAGGTTCTTTGAGTCTGTTGGCTTTTTATTAAGTGCTCTGAAATGCATTTCTGATGGAGACCCATTGATGTGAGAGAAACCATCAACAGACTGACTGCTCTCTCAGCCAAAGTGATTTATATTTCTTTTTTTCTGGAAGATTGATGGCCTGGTGCAGTGTGGGTAATGTAGTAGCAGATAATGACAAAGAGACTAATAGGTTTTGAATGAGGGAAAGAGGTTGGGGTGAAGATGGAGGCAATAGAGTTATATCATAAATGTATTTAAACCTATGCTAGGACGAGTTGTAGCCACACAAGTTGTCATCATAGTGACATGTTAACCACGGATCCCATTAGGAAGGTCACAGCATGAGCAGATAGCATGGAGACACTCCAGAATGATGGGTGCTGTTATGGGAAAAGGACGACCAAAGGCAGCGCTCTTGCGAAGGGGATGTTTTGTCTTGTTGGCTCATCATGCTCTCTCCTGTAACCTTTTCCCCCGCTTCACGTCGCTGCTGTTTTTCATTCCTTCCCCACACACATCTGCTCCACTGATAAGGGACATTTGGGCTTCGGCTCGCTCTCAGAGCCCTTTGGGACTCAACCTTTTCTGTGCAGCTGGAGGACTCAGCAATGTGAAATCCTGTTATTTCCCATGAAGGTCCAAACTAAACATTTCCTTACAATGCTTACATTTTGTCAGGTTCACAAAGATAGTTAAATTCAGTTAGTATTAACAAAAAAACATATGAGTTGCTGCAAGACTTAATTTCCCGTCGGGTTTAATAAAGTACTTTGAATAGAATTGAATGACAACCGTACAGGTTAGATGTATGGTAATTTAGTTTAATTTAGTTTCATCTTGTTAGATTTACATATTTTAATTCTTTTTAATTCTTTTATTGTTTTCAGCTTTGGGTGTTTGCAGTGGAAGCATAGTTCTGACATTTTCCAAATAAAATCTGAGAAGTGTGGAGTGAAATGAATTACAGTAAGTTAATACCACCACTTGTGCGTACTCGTGAAACGTCATCAACCTCAGCCCTAGTACTGTTCCAATTCACAAGAACAGCAGACCGAGAATAAAGTCCCCAGATGTTGTTTTCACTCCTCCCCATTTACCCATCATGCATCAGAGCAGACCTGTCCGTTGTTGAGATTGACAGCTATCCCAGCATGCACTGCAGCAGCAGCAGCTTTCAATGGAGCGCTCCATTGTTCCAAGTTAAAAGTTCTCTTTTCTGCTGCTGTTGTTCAATAAAAGTAAGTTTTTAGATCATTTAAGGCAAGAACATTATACTAAAAGCATAACTATATGGTCCATTTACAGATTTAATGTGTAATTAAAAAAAAAAAATTCCGAAGTTGGACCGCTGGCTATAATGGCGATTTTTTTTGTTGTTGTTTTATTTGGCAAATTTTTTATTTGATTTTGTTTTTATCTGAGTGTTCATTATTATTCCCCCACTAAATGAAAAAAATAATAATTTATTATGTAGAGACTATTAATAACAGGAGGTGAAATGCAGCTCTAGAATTGCACGTGGTGTCGTTATCAGTACACTTCTCTACCAATTGATCCATATTTATGCTGAGTGCTCCCGTTCTCACCAAGTCCAGACTTTTCTGTGTTCTTCTCAAGCACAATTCTGACATTTTCCAAATAAAATCGGCGAGGACACGATTCCGTACTCGTCTTCTAGTGATTTTAAAAAACGGCCTTCAATTCCAGTTTAAAGCTTTTTTCTAACAGATTGTCTTTGAGGAAAGCTCAATATTAACCTCTATTTTCTAATTATCTCTGTCCAGCTTCCCAGTCTCTGCTTCACCCACAGCATGATGCTGCCACCTTTATGTTTAGGAATTGTTTGTTCAGGGTGAAACCAGTTTTCATTTTCAATCGAGAACAAAAAGTGTAATTGTGGTCAAACCTCAAGCACCTGCTTCTTATCAGAAATGTCCTCTACATGATTTTAGTCGAGCTTTAATCAGTAAACCTTTTTTTTTTTCCCTTTTTGCTCCTCTATAAAGGCTAAGTTCATGGAGTCCATATCTAACAGGTTTCCTTTCAACAGATCCTCCCACCTGAGAGGTGGAGCTTTTCAGCTGCCCCAAAGTTGGCATCAGTCACATATAAAAAACAAAATATGTGCAAGAATTCTTTGAGTATTTGGAAACTTTTTGTTTGGATTTAAGTAAAGCGTCTTTTAAAAGTTTGTTTTTAAACTTGGTAATAATGATTTTTAATCTACTGGAGATAAAGGAACGGTTTACCTGACTGCTTATTTTATAACATATATCCAGATCTGTATGATTTTATATCAGTGGCAGAATCGTTGGCCATTAAGTTTGTGAACAGGAAAAATAAAGTTTAACAGTGAAACCATTTCTGATGCTTTCTGTAATAAAACAGATGTCTGAATGTGTTTTTAATGCCTTTATTTTGGGTTTTGAGGAACCAGTGACATCTTGAATGCTGCTTCTTCTTTTTTTCTTTGAATCAAAGCGTGTGACACAAAACCCCTGAAGCGATTCAAGTTAGATGGATCAACAGATGTCTTATCTGTTTACGAACACCCTCTGTGGCTTCAAATGTTATATTCCAAGTTTTTAATTTTTTATTATTAGATTATTCATAGTTAAAAAGCTGAATTTTTTTGACGAAAAATCATTCTGAGGATTTAAATGGTCAATCCCACTGAACAAATAACAGTTTCATGATGAAAAGGAAGGAAAGATGAACCCTTTCAGGTGAACTCTGGCCCAGACAGTTAATGCCAATTACACTGTGTGAAAGAACTTAAATGGTTGCCTTAAGCTCAACTGGGAGATGACAGATTGATTGGTCTGGCTTGTTTTTTTTAGGGATTCCCCTTCAGTGAAACATCTGATGCACCCTGTTGATCTGATGTCTGCTCTGTGGATCTTTGGTGTTTTTGGACCAGAAGCTGTTCAACTTTTCAGCCAAAATCTATTGCCTTGCTCCAGATTTCTGCATTAGCTAATCGCAGGCTGCAGCATGCGCTGCACTGTAATTGGAGTTGCCCTTTGTGGTAAATGGATGGAGTACATCTTTTTGTACCCACCGACGTACTTGAAATAAATGATGGCGGTGCAGAAAAGCCACCAGGGAATTGTTGCAGTTTCAGCCATGATATGTTTTAGGATAACGAAAAACCCTCCTGCCCCCCCCCCCCCCCCCCCCCCCCCCCCCCCCCCACCCCCACCCACCTCTTTTTATCCAGGATTTTAAACATTCAGTAGAGCTGATCACCTCTCCATCACTGGATGTTTTCCTACCTGAAGACGAGGATAACCCGTACGAGTCTGTGACTACCGCCGTCACGCGCAAACCCTGCTCCCTGGAAATCAACCACCGACTCAACGTCTGCGCCCGTAATGGTAAGAGGAACGACTTCGTACCCTTTTTAAAAATTTGCTCAGCAGTTTAAAGCACACTAATGAATAGATGGAAAGTTTTTCTTTCAAAAAATTACTGTGTTTTAGAAGGTTTATCCTGTGTGAAAATATTGCCGGATGTTCCATGAATTACATTTTTGAAATTGGGTTTACATTTTTTAACATCCTTAATCATATTAAACCTTGAATGGAATGTTTGGAAAATGTATAATATAAATATAAACATCAAAGATGTATTTATCACATTCAGGCTGAACCACTACTCATTACTTGTTGTCCTTAGTAACATTTAAGGTTATTTGAAAAATCTTTGATGAGTTTTTCCATGATGGCCTAAGGATGAATAATCTTCCATATGCATCTTCATGCAGATATAAGGGAGCTATTTGTCACATTTGGAGGAAAAACATTTTTAAATGCCAAAATCATAATACATTTTTTCTTTTTTTTTCATAATCTCTGAATATTTCCACAAGTTTTTAATTGAAAATATAAAACCGCATTCAAATTCCCTTATTTAAAAAAGCAGTTATTTAGTTTATTTTATTGCTGGCATCTTTTCTCTGTTATTGATAAACTTAAAACTTCATTTTGGAATAAACACCAACTAAATTTTATATGAATTTTATGTAATATAAATATTCTGGTTGCACAGCTTCATATCTGTAAACCCATATTAGTTGGTTAACTTTTGAATTCAACAGTTGTTTTCAAACACTGCTAGTTTAAAATGAGATGAATGGAGCTCCTTTGGGTTTCCTAACTATCATTGTTTGTGTTTCTTCTAACCATAAAAATTTTCAAAAATACAAATATTGTCGTTCTTTTGTTTGAGTTAGCTGACAGTGTTTTACTGTAGGGAGCGGTCGGAGGAGTTCAATGCTACGCTGTTTAACCATTTTCTCCCACATTTTATTAGAACTACTTTTAAACAATATGGATTCTATGCTGTATAATTTTCAAAGTTAAAGTATATGTAATTCATATTTTAGCACACTTTAATGCCACAAATTGGATGTGCTACATATCATTTAATAAATTAATTAAATTGCTTTGGCTTTTAAAGTCTTTGATGAACACTCTCACCACTTAGGGCACTATGAAGTGCTTCAAATTCTTGAATTTAGAAAAAGTTTTCAAAGGTCTTTGGTTTCATAATCTTAAAGCTTTTAAAATGAGCAGTTTAGCTTTTGGAACTAGTCAACATCTGCTAAATGTCCTTCAGCAGATTCTGAAAATTTCCTTGGTGTTTTTATCCAAGATAGAAAAAAAAATGGTAATACTTCTATTTTCCATGCAGTCTATTTTTGTATCACAAAATTATACCTGCTGTGGCTTTGTTTTATAACGTAATTTGGTTTTATTTATGCAGCGAGCTTCCCTAGTGTTCGTCTGAGACTGAACCATCAAATCTTTTTAGAAGAAACATGGACACCAGAATTAAACAATAGATTTTATAGAACTTCATAAAGATATCTAATCTTCAAATGCATAAAAATTCTATTTTTACTCTTTAATATTGGATTTTGTTGATCTACTACAAAGCTAAATAGCAGTTATTTGTGCTTAAATTGCTTCAATGTCAAACAGAAAAACCTGCTTGGTGTGAGATGAAAAGAATAAAGCTTGTTTTTACACTGCCAAGTTTTATACGATGGAGTAAAATCAACATCTTAAGCAAACATTGTTTTTTAAAGAACAAGTAAATGCTATTTAGTCTAACACGAGGTGCCTTAAAGTTCAATTTAAATTGGAACAGATTTAAAAACTAGTAAATGTGTTGCTTATTGCTTGATTAGTTTTAATTAGTATTAAACAAACTTCCTTGAAAGCAGCTCTGAAAACCAACTTCCTACACTAGTTATCTATCTAACATCGTAACTGTGAGAGAAATGCTTCTTGGGTGTTTTAAACTCCGACCTCCTGTAGCAGCTAGTTTTGCTTTAGCATTATCGCCAGCTTGTACATAAAAAGGAGTAATAAACAGTTGTGCTGATTATTTTTCTTATGCTCCACAGAAGCACAACACTTAAAGTTTTTATCACTTTGCATTTAAAAAAGTTTTCGTGCCGCCATTTGTAAAAATCTGCTGTGTTCTGCAGTTACCACATGGGGGCGTTGCATCTCCAATAGCTACCCAGACCACACGCTAATGTGAACAAATTGCACTTAGCTTTTTTAAAAAAGATTATTGCATTAAACGAGAAATTTGTAGTTGTGTTATTTGTTTTTCCGTTGGAATTTCACTTTAACCATCAACCTAAGATGGCTTTTCACAAATATCTTTTAGGCTTTAGAACAAGCATCAGTGTTGGACTTGGTATGAAGTCATTGTCCAGCTTTAACTTCCTCTCTGTTTCCCGTCTGCTCATAATGTACGGTCAGATGAAGTGTAGTTTTTGCACCCACCATGTGTTCTTCCCCTTTTGCTCGTCTCCCATAGCAAAACTACACACTGCGTGTTGTCAGGGCAACTGCATCCCTGGCTGGTGAGTCACCTGGATGTTGCTATGGGAACTGTCTTGGTAGTGACACATCAACCCCCTCTTTCGCTCCCTGAAACGGGGCAGTAGAAGGCTACTGTGGAGAGGAGGATTTTTGGTTCCACATGATTGGCTGCAGGACGGGGAAAAGTTGAGCTGTCGATTTAGAGTCAGCAGCTCATGTGCAAGAAACTGAATGTTGGCTGCTTTCTGTCAGATTAAGAATCTGTTGGTGGAAAATTGCTCGACTGACGTAAGGGAGCTGTGTGGGTGCTGTTCGTTCTTACCTGAGCGAAGGCAGGAGAGAGGAGAGAGAGCTCCCTGCATCTCAGAGCCTGCACACACTTTTTTTTTTCTTGTAGATGAACAGGGTTAGAGCTGATTACGCATTGAGCTGATGAAGTCTGAGACCAGTCTTAGGCTAATACTTTGACATAAATGCAAACTTGTGACGCAACAGGAGGGAGATTCCTGCTCTGAGCCTCGTCACATGTAAAGCAAACCACACAGGGATGTGATTTGGTCCCTTCTTATGCCCATGAGGAATAATGTGATGACAAAGCTGCATTAACTCAGTGGGTTTGAGATGTTAAGGAAACCGCAGAGATTTAATGCATTACAAAGATAAAAGGGTCAGCTTCCTGAAAGAAACTGATCATTCTTTTCATTTGACCTCTCTTGTTTGTGCAAGATAATAATCTGCCTGAAACAAATTGGTACATAGTTTCTGTAGGACAATGATATATATGGTTTTCCATGTTTTCTGTTTGTGCAAAAAAAAAAAAAAAAAGGGTGCTGTCTACTTTTATCCACTAAATATTACTATTGCATGCAGGATTAACCAGATTTGTAGCTGCAAACCTGCCACAACAGGACCAAAATTAAACTTTTGGCCTATGTGCAAAACACCCTATGTGTGGAGGTTCACCGTCCAGCTTCATGGCCCGAAAGACACAGAGCTGCAAGTGTTAGACTGACTCAATATGAATACTTCTGTATCAAAAGCTGCCTGTTTTTTTTTTTTTTTCACTAACTTTAGTCTAAAATTCAGTCATTAGAAGTTTTTAACATCAGGTTACATGGGGATGATTGTTCTGTCCAGAGAACCCAGTTTGCTTTAAAAACAATCACTGAGAAAAACATATAAGATGAAATTTTCTCTGAAAATCCTCATATGAAGCTTTCTGTGCTGCTGGAAGGTTTTTGCAGGCGTTTCTTCAGCTGCCTTGTCAGAGTTCTCCTGACAGTGATTCTCTGAAGCTCTTCTGTGCCCTAACAATCAAAGCAGCTTTATTGTGTTCTCTGTGCTCACTGTCGCTCAGTCCAGCAGCAGAAACACCAGGGACCTGTTTTCACTGCAAATAAAAAAAATCCTGCCTTTCCTGAGCTTCTTGTCACTCTGGAACCGGCTTTACTCTGGATGCTGCAGTATTCATGGGAATGTTGCTTCCCACTGCAGCACATGTCATCCGACTCGACAGTCTGTCATTCCTGATGGGAAAGAAATGGAATTATGTTCTTTGTAATGGAACGTATATTAGGAACAGAGTTTTTCTAGCTTAATCCTCCAACTGCATGGGTCCTAAAGCAGTCATTAAGTATATTAGGCAGGGATTATACTTGCTGCATGGGATGGATTTGTTTCAAACAAGAGGATCTATTTCTGCCGCATTGCCTGCCTGCAGTTGCCGCTAGTCCTAATTAGTCACAATCTCTTCAATTATTTCACATGCACAGAGCATAATATTTAATATGCAAAGAAGGTTTTTTAGCATTTTTCAAAACACATACAAATCCCTAAACAGGAAGATCACACAGGTTAGCTGAGCTGTGCCTTTGTCTCATTCTGATTAAAAAATTTAGTAAATTTTACTCTTAGTCTTTGTTTAAAGCTGTAAACATTTCGATGCTTAACATATTTTGTTTTAGTTATTACATGTTGCAAATTGCTTGCACTAGTTTAGTATTTATAGTTAAAGCTTAGACTAAAAAGCAGCAAAGTTCTGAGACCCATGTAGAATGTGATGCCTCTATAGCACTCTGTTTTATATTGTGCCACATAGATTTCCATAATCTCCTAATTAGGATGAATGAAGCTAATTATGGGTCACTTATGATTATATTAACCTTTTTTTTCCTGATATAGGACTAATATTTAAACGTTTTGAATAAAGCTGCACTTAAATACAATAACTGACGAAGTTTAAATTTACTGTGGATTTCCTTAATCTACAAAGGGTCAAAATTATACATCCAGATTATACCAACCCTTCCCTGCTTAGATTTGGTTTAATGATTTTCTCAAAAGCAGAAATATACCTTTCATTTGATTGTTTTTCTTTTTATGTGTTAATCTTAGGAATAGTCTGTCCTGTTCTATTAGACTATCCTTCCACATTCTTTCTAATTACTTTCCAGAGCTAGGAAAGGTCAAATATTCCGGTCGCAGGTGTTTAGTAACTAGAATGTAAACAAATAGAAACTCCCATTCCTGTATAC